GCCTAATGATGAAGCTAATGTTTGTGCCGTCTTGGGCAAGGCGAGATTTTTGTCGCGCTTCACGATACAAACTCTGCGAAAATGTCACCCCTTCCATATAAAGAAAAAGTGAGATCTGTGTGGACAGTGGACAACGCCATCACCCCCCCCCCCCAACCTTTTTTTCAAGGCAACTGGAAGAGTCAAAACATGAGCGTTTGGTGCCAGGGAACAAGAATCATTTTTGCACCCTCCCCCCCCCCCCACCCCATTTTCCCNTGGCCCTGGCCCCTTCCCCCCGGGCCCCCCCCCCCAAAAAACCAGGGGGCCCCCCCTCCCCGGGGGGGGGGGGGGGACGACATGAAAAGAAACCCTGACCCTGACTTGGCAGCACAGATTTTCAGTAATGTGGCATTACATGGCACTAAAGCTTGCTTAGTTATGCCGACACGTATGCACGGATTTGTATCTAATGTACTTAAAAGTTCCTCTCTTCAAATGACGTAAACGTGGAGGCAGAATGGCCATGAACAGGTTCATTTAAATATTCAACGGTGTCCCTGGGTCGGCCACATTCACAATCACATGGGTCGGCCACATTCACAATCACATGGGTCGGCCACATTCACAATCACATTTAATTTCCGGCGTGGCGCTCCAAAGTCTGCGCGGATGGCTTTGTGCGCGGCTCCGCCCGGGGTCCGGAGTAACAAAAGCTCTGTTTGATTTAGGGAGGCAATCTAACGGAAGCCGTTGTGTTTTATGGCCCCGGTCATTTTAGTCTGTCATTTGCTGACATTACCTTGGTGACAGGCTGGTTGGAAACTGTTGATTTTAAATACATTTGATCACATTGGTTGTTGGGTTGTATTTTGTTTTTTTTTCAAAGCATCTAACTGATGAATCATTTAAAATAAATATTTGCACGGATCGTTAACTTTGGTCATTTCAATCAGCGTTTCCCAAACTGTTAAGTTTCACGGACCGGTGCCAGATTTATTGATTACATTTTCTTTCTATTTAAGCATCAATATTTATGCTCTCTGGACCGGTAACGTAAGGCTTGAGGACCGGTGCCGGTCCACGGACCACCGTTTGAGGAACGTTGATTTAAATAAATGATACAGAGCAGTGCAAAGACTGGAAGAAGGAAAAAAAAGAGAACAGTTGACAGAATTTTAAAAAAATATATATAGCGACGCTTCAGCTCATGTCTGAGTCTGTTGTCTTTAGTGTTGTCGATTAGAGACCGACCGAAAGCGGTTTTCTGATTTCGACCGAAACCGAAACCAGAACTAAAGTTTAAAAAAATGACCTTCGGCCGAAATTGAAGCCGAAAGATTTAAATATTTCAAAACTTATTTTCGCACACTTTCTGCGCACTGCGAAAAATGACTTAACAACTTTTCTGGCAATTTTTATTTCTCTTCAGTGAATCTCATACAATGTACCCAAGGAAGTAAGCCTCCCCCACCCTTTTTTTCTTGCGGTGTCACTTTGAGCATGGTTAGGCTAAAAACATCTTAACTCCATTTTTTCTGGCCAAACTTATTGGGACCTAAACTTCCCTGTTTAAAGTGTTTACCATCCAAATTTGAACAGGTAACTGTAAATTAGTCAATTTAACATTTTACAATTTAGCATTTTCAGCTTGTCATCACACACTCCACGCCCTTACACACACACCGCCCACACACACACACACACACACACCCACCCACACACACACACACCCACCCACCCACACACACACACACATCAACGGGCGGAATAAATAAATTTTACCATTTCTTTGTGTCTTCACCCAGAACGGCTCTCGTTAACAATCCACATGAGAGATTGAATATTCTGTAATCTGAATGTTCCAGTCAAAGTGTGTCATCCAGCCATTCTGTAGAATGCCTTGGCAAAGTGTAGAATGGCTAATGTATTTTACACTTTGGCTACAAATAAAACGATGAACAGCACCACGGCTTTTAATGCATTGTCTGGAGTTTTATCTGCCTGTCTCGGGGCTGTGAGCCAATTTAAACAGCCATCAATTCAGCATTACGCAACTAATCGTTGCGCCCAAACACCCTCGCTACGCCTCTGCAGATAATAATGGAAGGCATATCGCGCTAATTTACACATATTTTTTGCGAGGTCTCAAAATCTAAAATTCCATTTTTTAAGTATGTCACTGAATCGTGTTTTGATGTATTGTATCCTTCTGAAAATACGACAATTTGAAATGTATATGTAGTAGAGTGGGTGGTTTAGTGGGTTGTCTTAGGTGACCACGCCAAAAACTGTAGTTGTGTGGTGTGTGGTGATCATACCGACAACGCCAAAAACTGTAGTAGTGTGGGTGTTGTTGGGTGACCCTGGTGCCACAGACAGTTACTACTAAACAAATGAAGAAATGTAGGTCTCGAGGACTATAGCTTTATTAATGTTCTACTATGAAGAAAAAGTACACTATGAACTATGGAGAAGAAAAAGTACACTATGAACTATGGAGAAGAAAAAGTACACTATGAACTATGGAGAAGAAAAAGCCTATGAAGAAAAAGGGAAAGAAAAAGAGAAAAAGGACAATATAGAGCGCTCCAATGGGCCGCACTGAACAAAGGCACATGGCAGGTAATGCTGACCAACGCTCGAAAATGACCCCTAATTCGTGTGCTCCCCTTATAAAGCCGTGCGCGGACATATAAGAGAGCCCCTACGTCACACCTAAACCGAGTCGGTCTAAGTTTTGCCTTCTGGCCAGTTTCCTGGGGTAAAATGACTAATTCTGGGGACTACTCCCGAGTAATAATTAAAATGTTTGTCCACATCCCTAACGACTTATATGTGATCTGTGCAGTTTTGTCTTAGCTATCTAAGATACTATTTTATATTTTTATGACTTAAATAGTTTTTGAGATATTTTAACTGGAAGGGGCTGGGACCACTATAGATGAAGGCGAAAACACCTTTAATGACTAAATGTTAAAATATCCTCCAACGATGGAAACTTGTAAATATGCTAAGGTATAGTGAATAAAATCCCCTTTCTAACTAGATATAATTTATAACTTAATATGCTAGGGTTCCCGAGAAACAAATTATTGAATTTCTAACCAATGCGCACATCGTGGTATTTTATTATTTCCTCCATATGCGCCGGCCGTATAGTGACCGTCCAGGTTTGGGGGGGGGGGGAAGGGGGGGAAGGTGAAAGGGATACACTGAGCGCGGGTTACACACCGCGCGCGCCAGACATGGTTTACGTAACGGGTCTAATAGTGGGTTGGGGCATACACTGCCACATATATTTATGAAACTCGTGGTATTTTATTATTTCCTCCATATGCGCCGGCCGTATAGTGACCGTCCAGGTTTGGGGGGGGGGGAAGGTGGGGAAGGTGAAAGGGATACACTGAGCGCGGGTTACACACCGCGCGCGCCAGACATGGTTTACGTAACGGGTCTAATAGTGGGTTGGGGCATACACTGCCACATATATTTATGAAACAGTAAATCAGATTTTTTTTATTTGCAAAGAAGTATCTATGTATAAATGTTTACGTTTCTAACATCATTGGGGTTTTATTTTTTTTTCCTTCGATATAAATTAGATCTACTTAACGGTTTTTATGGTTTTACATTAAACTTCACCAACACATTTTTTTTAAAAATGTACTTTTTGATTTCTATGCTAAATATCTTGAAACAAATGACTGAATAAACTAGCATCGATTAATTGAACATTTTCTGCAGCAATTAATCTCTCGTCGGTATTGCGTTCACATTTCCAGAGAATAAGTACATAATGCATCCGTCGTTGTGCCCCCCCCCCCCCATTTTCCCCCTAAGTCAACAGTCAACACAATCACATCGCTTAGTTTAGGTTTAGTATGGGCTGTGAACAAGGAGGCACAGAGTTTACACTGAGACGACATCTTTGCCGGGCAACGTATCTTATAGCTTGCTGAGATTTCTTTAAACATTATCATGTGATTGTGTGGAAAGAGGTGAAATCTGCCGGGAACATCTCGGCGTTAGTTCATCTGGGAGATTACTACGCTGTAGTGTCTCATTCATAAAGTATCAGTCTCTGCAGGACTTTACATGGGTGAACTTTGAATGACCTTTTTTGCTTTAATCAAAAAAAGATTGGTTTCGCATCTTCTCGGCTTGTTGAGCCGTATATCACCAGGCAAGACGAGTCGATCACAAGCAATGCCTTCTCGTGCGCATGTTTTTTTTTTTTAATTTATAAAGTATAAAGTGATTGTCTTTATTAATTTATTCAATTATTGTTGTATTGTATGCACATTTTAAATATTTTTTTTTCATTTCTATTTTAGGCTCTGCAAATATAGAAACTCACCCATTGACAAGATCGACAACTAGTACAATCAACTGCTATATAATCGTTTTATTTTAGAGATGGTACAATACGACTAGAATTACCGTATAGAACGTACTGCTGATAAGATGTCGGTGTAACCGTGTGCGTCCAGGATATTGAGGTGAATTCGACTTCAGCGAAGTTGTCAAGGTGACATTTCACAATATAAGCAACCTCACTATGAAACAATCAACACGTGTCTACTATTTGGAGCAAGAACTTTACCTACATTTTGGAATTATGCATAACTTCAAGAACAAGATCAGAACAGAACAATAATTGTCTGCAACACAGGGAGTACCGCGTCGCTCAGGTCCTCTAGTAAGTGCTGTGTAGCTCGTCTTTTAGTTAAGTTCTGTGTAGCTGAGGTCTTCTAGCTAAGCACTGTGTAGGTCCGGTCCTCTAGTCAAGTACTGTGTAGCTCAGGTCTTCTAGCTAAGTAATGTGTAGCTCAGGTCTTCCAGTTAAGTACTGTGTAGCTCAGGTCCTCTAATTAAAACGTGCTTACAAACTACACGAGTTCTGTATCGAGTTTATCATGTCAAACACAACGTGCAGTCCAGGGGCGGAGGTGTATGTGGTGCCAGTGGACCCTGAATACTTCAAACTGTTCGACGCCGGCTACCCACTGCTGGAGTACCCCGGCTGGGAGATCGCCATCAAAGTTGTCTTCTACGTCATCGCTATCGTCATGGATCTCGTGGGCAACGTGATCGTCATCCTCATCATTGCCCTGAACCGTAAGATGAGAAGCACGACGAACGTGCTGATCATCAACCTGGCCGTGAGCGACCTCATGGTCGGGACGTTTTGCATGTGGATCCACCTGGGCAACCAGACGTCACCGAACTGGCCGTTTGGCTGGTTCATGTGCAAGTTCAGCACGTTC